ATAAACTTGCTTCAACTTGATTGAAATTATAAAATTAGTTCTGGTGTATGTTGTTGATAAATACAGAGAACTATATATATGAATAGCCACGTCGTACCTCCAGGCTTCATCGCTTAGAAAAGCATTCTATAAATCTTAAACATTATATATCAAGATGTGTGGATCTTCGCCTGGCTGTGAGTACAGTGTAAACAGGACCGACTTATCCGGGATGCTGATTGAATATAATTGTTTTGATGACACGCGGAGCTTAGTTGGTAAAAGGAAAAGAAAAATAATTGTAAAGCTCCTTTTGGCTCTTGAGATTTGTAGACGCGTTGGTTTGTTGGCATCTTCAGTCCTGAAGAATACTTTTGCTGCTGAGTGGAGAGCTGACCCCTCGGAGGAGAGGGGAGGGAGGGGTGTAGGGAAGTGTTTGGGGAGGGTGAGGAAGGAACAGTGAGAGGATGTTGAAGAACTGGACAAATTAAAGAGTTCCCGCTACAGCCGGAGAAAAAGAGTTCCCCGGGACAGCCGGATAAAAAAGAGTTCCCGGTAGAGCGGGAGGAAAGAGTTCTAGAGTGGGAAGCAGGCAGGGGGAGAGGAGAGGAGGGGGGGGGGGGGGAGAGCGTGTAGCAGAGGTTAGATAGTTAGGTTGAAAGGGGACACAATTTTTGGAAGAGTTGGTGTGTCATGCAGAGGGGAAATGTTGCGGAGCAGAAAATGTGCGTTTGAGGGGACACTGAATTATTATAGGGGAATGGGTTGAAATTATATATATATATATATATATATATATATATATATATATATATATATATATATATATATATATATATATATATATATATATATATATATATATATATATATATAATATGTTGTTGAATATGACCAAAATGGTAAGATTATTTATTCTAACACGAATCTTCTCGATATTTCTTATGTTTTTCTTCACTGTCGAGGGTGGTTGACAAATTAACTCTCCAAAGTTTATTTTCACACTTTATTTATGATCTGACGCCAAGGGAAGCGTTTCGCAAGTCACTTCTTACATTTTCAAAGACAAAGTTTTTACATGGAGTGTGAAGGCTTATGTTCGCTTGGGGTGAGGTGATACAGGACATGATTGAGATGAACAAGTAGATGAATGGCACATGGGTATTAGCGATACTGCGTGTTCTATCTCTTTGCTTCAACGGTTTCTGTGTTGGTTCAGGGTCTTAAAGTGGGTAGAATGTAATATTATGAGTTAATTGGCTGTTGATTGCTGGTTTTGACTTTTTGATGTGTAGGGCCTCGCTGATGTCGAGTCTCCTGTTGTCGTTGTATTTGTCGATAATTTCTGTGTTGCTTGTTAAGATGTCTCTGGTGATGGTCTGGTTGTGTGAGATTATATGTTCCTTGATGGAGCCTATGTTGTTTGTGCATTGTTAATCGCCTAGAAAGAGACGATGTTGTCTTGCCTATATACTGAGATCTTTGAGGCTAACAGTCCCCAAGTGGGCATGTGAAGGCATAGACGACGTTGGTTTCTTTCAAGGCGTTCTGCTTGGTGTCTGGAGAGTTCTTCGAAGAACTCTAAAGCAGGAACCTCCCATTCCTGCTCCGAAGATGTTCTCATTCACCAGAAACCCAAATGCAAAAAAAAAAAAAAAATAAAGGCATGCTATAAATGGGAACAGCAAAGCCTCTAAATTTGTCCACGTGAATGATTTGGAGCATTCACCTATACACGCCCACGAGTTGAAATGTGAATAAACACTTAAGAGACACTTACCAGAGAGCAAACTTAGTTACTACACATGCATTACTTGTCAGGAAGGGGGACATCCCATCTAGTATCATAAACTCTTTACTACTTAACAACTATCTTTCACCTCATATGTTTACCTCATATCTACTCCAAAAAGAGAGGGTGGAGTGGGGGTGGGTGGGGTGGGGTGGTGGGGGGGGGGTTGTTTGAAGTAGTGGGGGTTGAGGCAGCATGAGTCACTGCTGTCTGAAGACATCTGTCAAGCCTCCTAGAGACAGTTGTAATCACGTCGCAGATTTTGACGTGTGTGATTGGTGAAGAGGTTTATGACGTCACAAGAGTAAATATTAGTATATTTCCTTTGCACGTGGAGAGGCCTGTGTGGGTGACTCTTGATGTGTGTTTGGCTGTGACTGCTGGCCGGGAAACATGACACCACTGCTTCTCGAAAGCTCCTCAGAGTGAGAGAGAGAGAGAGAGAGAGAGAGAGAGAGAGAGAGAGAGAGAGAGAGAGAGAGAGAGAGAGAGAGAGAGAGAGAGACAGACAGACAGACAGACAGACAGACAGACAGACAGACAGACAGACAGACAGACAGACAGAGAGAGAGAGAGAGAGAACAATAGTAATAGAGACAGTGATTGTAGATGTGTGTGTGTGTGTACTCATCTAGTTGTGCTTGCGGGGGTTGAGTTTTGGCTCTTTGGTCCCGCCTCTCAACCGTCAATCAACTGTTGTACAGATTATTGAGCCTACTGGGCTCTATCATATCTACATTTAAAACTGTGTATGGAGTCAGCCTCCACCACATCACTGCTTAATGCATTCCAGTTGTTAACAACTCTGACACTGAAAAAATTCTTTCTAACGTCTCTGTGGCACATTTGGGCACTAAGTTTCCACCTGTGTCCCCTTGTTCGTGTTCCTCCCGCGCTAAAGAGTTTGTCTTTGTCCACACTGTTAATTTCCCTGAGAATTTTGTAGGTGGTTATCATGTCTCCCCTTGCTCTTCTGTTTTCCACGGACGTGAGGTGTTCAGCTCCCTTAGCCTTTCCTCGTAGGTCATACCTCTCAGTTCCGGGACTAGTCTGGTGACATACCTCTGAATCTTCTCTAACCTTGTCTTGTGTGCTCACCCAGTTGAGCTTGCAGGGTCGAGCATCAACTCTTAAGCCCCGCCTTTCGACCATCATTAGTTCAATGCAGTTACGTTTCATTCGTTTTTCTTATATTTACATTTAAAGCTGGCCATCCAGTTATATATATATATATATATATATATATATATATATATATATATATATATATATATATATATATATATATATATATATATATATATCTTCCAGCTGAACTGTTAGGGGCTACTCATGTCCGTGCTTAATCTTCATCAGTCAGAACTGTAGTCACTTCTACTCTTCTTTTGAAAATATTGCCGCGTTCACCCCCCAAACGCATCTCTTAACATCACATTATATAACTCTTAACATGACCCTTGACAGCCACCATATCTGTCATTTGCAGTAGAAGTTGTTGTGGTGATAGTTGTGGTGGTGGTTGTGGTAGTTGTGGTAGAGAGGGATTGTGAGGTAGCGGGAAACAGAAAGGACGACAAACGTCAGTTTTATTATTGGATGAGATTATATTTGAAGGTGAGCTGCGGCTGTGGTCTATATTGGCCACAGCGGAACAAGGGCTCCAGCGGCCGCACGCTGCCCTTGGTGCTGGTGGACAGTCCTGTGGTGGACAGTCCTGTGGTGGACAGTCCTGTGGTGGACAGTCCTGTGGCGGACAGTCCTATGGTGGCGATCCTATCGTAGAGTCCAATGGTGGGGGGTTCGTATGATGGGGGTCCTATAGTAAAGGGTCTGGCGGTGAGGGGTCCTATGAAGGGGTTCCTGTGGTAGACTGTCCTATGGTGAAGGTTCTGTGGGTGCTGTGGGAAGAGGAGGACCGCAGATTTAGAGGGGAAATTACCTTCCCCACTTCCCCACCTTTCCCCCCGCCAGGGGTAGAAAGTAATGTTGGCTGGAAAATGAGTGTCCCCCCGCACTGTGGGCGGATATTTCTAGTGGTATGAGCATGTACTCACCTAATTGTGCTTGCGGGGGTTGAGCTTTGGCTCTTTGGTCCCGCAAACCTTTGCAAACCAAACCGCAAACCTTTTACCTTTGGTCCCGTTCATGTTGTAATGAACAAGTGCTCAAGGCGATGACACTAACAGTGAGTTAACGAACACCTGTCCACCAGTATATTGGTGCTAGCAGAGTGCCCGGGGGGGGGGGGGGGGCCCACTGTCAATATTTGCCCGCTGCCCCACCAAAGCCTTTGTGGTCGCTACTGTGAGAGGTGGAGCAATTCCAATTTTTAACTGACAGTTCAGTCAACATAAAGGTTGACTGGGGCGTCTGCTGGTGGAGGTGACTGTCGACCAGAGGCTGACTGGGGCGCCTCCTGCTGGTGGTGACTGTCGACCAGAGGCTGACTGGGGCGTCTCCTGCTGGTGGTGACTGTCGACCAGAGGTTGACTGGGGCGTCTCCTGCTGGTGGTGACTGTCGACCAGAGGCTGACTGGGGCGTCTCCTGCTGGTGGTGACTGTCGACCAGAGGCTGACTGGGGCGCCTCCTGCTGGTGGTGACAGGCAGAGACAAGTACTGTATAACAAAATCCATTCATATATCAATGTTCTGTCCGGATTATGACGGATTACAAACAATATCACAATATTTTCATCCTGGCATTCTTTCCACCCAGCTTAAAACTGTTCATAGAGACCCATCTCTTCCTCCTGCCCTCATCTCCACCACAGCTGCTGACACCACCACTCACCATCTCCAGTAACCACAGTTACCAGCATCCACTACTACCACCACCACCATTTCCAACACCACTGTATGACACCCCGGCTGGAGGCTGGGGGTGTCAGGACCCCAGCGCGGGTTCTGACACCTCTCTCATCTCGCGGTCGGAGATGAGAGAGCCGGGAGATGCTTCTCCTCACCCACCACGACCAGAACATGTCTTGGGTTATTTAGGATTTTTATTTCTTTCTATTTTAACATTTCTCTGACACCCCCCAGGAGGGGGGGGGGGCCCTCACGGGGGAATATATTCCCTTTAACTTATAATAATTCCGGCACAGGAGGGCTCGGGCGGGGGGGGGGGGTTGTAAGGGTGTAGCTTATGTTGTTGTTGTTGGGTTGTGGTAATGTTGTTGTTGTTGTTGTTGTGGGGTTGTGGTAATGTTGTTATTGTTGTTGTTGCAGGTGTGGTGGAGAGCGCCCTGGCCCACAGCGAGCACCGCGCCCTCAACGTGTTCCAGGCCACGTACCCGCGCCTGGCCCCGGCCGCACGCCAGGTGCTGCACGACCTCTACGCCTCCCTCAGGGTCGGCCTCACCGACCCCGACGACCGAGCGCTGGAGAACGCCCTCGGTAACTTCTGGGACGACCTCTTCCCCCCGGTGTACCACAGCGTGCTGCACGCGCGCCTCGCGCCCTTCTCCCGCAGGTACACGGAGTGTCTGCGGGACGCGCAGCGCGTGGTGCAGCCCTGGGGCATCATACCCACCCTGGTGGGGGAGCCCTTACTGCGCGGCCTGCACTCTGCGCGGCTCCTCCTTCACTCTCTAGACGTCGGGGCGCAGGTGGTCGACACTGCGCGCAACTTCCCCATCCCCAGTGAGTGCGCAGACGCAGCTGCGCGCCTGCAGTTCTGCGGGGCGTGTCACGGCGCCCTGGCCCCACCTTGCACGGGCATGTGCCTCAATGTGGCCCGCGGCTGCCTCGCCCCCTTGGCCGAAGTGGACGGTGCGTGGGCCGACCTGGCCGGGGCGGTGGGCCGCGTGCAGGAGTCGCTGCAGGCGGTGCGGCTGGCCCACCTGCTGCACCAGTTGCCCGACAAGCTCTCCGAGGCTGTCATGGTCGCCCTCGAGCGTGGACCTCAGCTACAGAAAAAGGTAAAGATATCTATCTCTCTTGTCCCTCATCACCTGATACTGTGGGTGGCTGTAACTCACTGTGGGTGGCTGTAACTCATTGTGGGTGACTGTAGCTCACTGTGGGGTAGCTGTAACTCACTGTGGGTGGCTGTAACTCACTATGGGTAGCTGTAACTCACCGTGGGTGGTTGTAACTCACTGTGTGACTGTAACTCACTGTGGGTAGCTGTAACTCATTGTGGGTGACTTAACTCACTGTGGGTGGCTGTAACTCACTGTGGGGTAGCTGTAACTCACTGTGGGATGGCTGTAACTCACTGTGGGTGGCTGTAACTCACTGTGGGGTGGCTGTAACTTACTGTGGGTGGCTGTAACTCACTGTGGGATGGCTGTAACTCACTGTGGGTTTGCTGTAACTCACTGTGGGGTGGCTGTAACTCACTGTGGGTGGCTGTAACTCACTGTGGGTGGCTGTAACTCACTGTGGGTGGCTGTAACTCACTGTGGGGTAGCTGTAACTCACTGTGGGGTAGCTGTAACTCACTGTGGGTAGCTGTAACTAACTGTGGGTGGCTGTAACTCACTGTGGGTGACTAACTCACTGTGGGTAGCTGTAACTCACTGTGGGTGACTGTAACTCACTGTGGGTGACTGTAACTCACTGTGGGTGGCTATAACTCACTGTGGGTAACTGTAACTCACTGTGGGGTAGCTGTAACTCACTGTAGGTGACTGTAACTCACTGTGGGTGGCTGTAATTCATTGTGGGTGGCTGTAACTCACTGTGGGTGACTGACTCACTGTGGGTGACTTTAACTCATTGTGGGTGACTGTAGCTCACTGTGGGTGACTGTAACTCACTGTGGGGTAGCTGTAACTCACTGTGAGTGACTGTAGCTCACTGTGGGTGACTGTAACTCACTGTGGGGTAGCTGTAACACTGTGGGGTAGCTGTAACTCACTGTGAGTGACTGTAGCTCACTGTGGGTGACTGTAACTCACTGTGGGTAGCTGTAACTCACTGTGGGTAGCTGTAACTCACTGTGGGTAGCTGTAACTCACTGTGGGGTAGCTGTAACTCACTGTGGGTGACTGTAACTCACTGTGGGTGACTGTAATTCACTGTGGGATGGCTGTAACTCACTGTGGGTGGCTGTAACTCACTGTGGGTGGCTGTAACTCACTGTGGGTAGCTGTAACTCACTGTGGGTGGCTGTAACTCACTGTGGGTGGCTGTAACTCACTGTGAGTGACTGTAACTCACTGGGGTGGGAATGTATTGTGTCCTTCACCGAGCCAACAGCTATCTGCAGCAAGTGCTCTGGGAGATGTCAACGAACACACACACACACTGTAGTGGTATTCCTGCTTCCTGGGAGTGTCTTTGTCTATACCCTCCCATGTTCCTTTTTGGTTTGGGGGGGGAGGGTGGGGGGTAGAAGAGGGACGAAGGGTTACCTCTGTTCAGTCGTCCATACGAAATTTCGTCCCTGTTGGAAGGCTTCTAAAGAGGTTTGTGTATCAAAGTAAACATTTGTATGAGGGTTTAACATCACGCTCACTGGTCAGGTTTGATTATGAGGGAAGCAGGCGAATGTTGCCTGCAGGGAGACTAAGCAGGCCAGAAGCAGACCAGAAACAGGCCAGACAGCCCAGAAGCAGCCCAGAAGCAGGCTAGAAGGCGGCCAGAAGCAGCCCAAATGCAGCCCAGAAGCAGGCCAGCAGGCGGCCAGAAGCAGCCCAGCAGGCGGCCAGAAGCAGCCCAGCAGGCGGCCAGAAGCAGCCCAGCAGGCGGCCAGAAGCAGCCCAGAAGCAGGCCAGCAGGCGGCCAGAAGCCCAGAAGCAGGCCAGATCACTACCAACTTAAGACTACAATACCACTTGCTTCCCTCTCGTGGTACCTGTAATAATAACTTAAATGTACCATCCTCACTTACTGACTGCTCTTGAACACGCGCACATGCTCATAATAATAATAATAATAATAATTGAGTAGTTAAACCATTGCAGTTCCTTTGATTAATCATCGAATGGGGTTAGCGACCCTGAAATATGACACATCGCACAATAAACAGCCTCACACACGGCTGCCCAGCACGCACGCACGCACGCACGCACGCACGCACGCACGCACGCACGCACGCACGCACGCACGCACGCACACACACGCACACACACACACACACACACACACACACACACACACACACACACACACACACACACACACACACACACACATATGATTGAGCCCAGTAGGCTCAGGAATCTTTACATCAGTTGATTGATGGTTGAGAGGCGGGACCAAATAGCCAGAGCTCAATCCCCGCAAGCACAATTAGGTGAATACACACACACACACTGTATGTGTGTGTGTGTGTGTGTGTGTGTGTGTGTGTGTGTGTGTGTGTGTGTGTGTGTGTGTGTGTGTGTGTGTGTGTGTGTGAGGGTGGGGGCTCTGACCACTCAGCACTTCACAAGTCGCCAGCATACGTCCTCAAGGATATCATAAGTACATACAATGTTTTAGGATACGACGAAGCAAGAAGCTAAGGATGACTTTCTTGCATCAAATCTTATTTGATCTACCAATGAAGCCAACAACTCACTAGGAATCAGATACTAACACTCCCCAAACTCTCCCTTCAGTTCCCTTCATGGCATCAAGGAAGAGACCAGATAGCTTTTCCTTCGTGATTCAGAAATATATTACTTTGTATTCATCAACACTGAACAAATTATTGGTTTTATGTAAGTCCAAGTTACAAAGTGGGGAGTATAGTCGTGGAGACTCAAGTGACTGTGTGACTGTGTGGCTGACTGTACCAAACACTTGCGACGCTCCTGACGCCGCGTACAGTTTTTCTAACGTGTTTCCTTTGGCACAATTCGTTGTTAGCCTCCAGGTAGTCAAGGAATCTTAAATTAACGAAAGAAAAACAAAATCAATCTATCTTGGTGTGTTGAAGCTTAAGGAGGATCACACCTAACACCTTGCATTTCGAGACACATCAAATAAGCAACACAGTTTGTAACAAGAGTCGTGATGGCAGTAACGCCCGTCTGAGATACAGTAACATGAATGGTGCTGGTGGTGACGCCGTCGATATTCATGGATGCTGACACCCCACAAACCAGAGCCAGAGTTGTCAAGGAAAGATCTTGCAACTGAGAGGATACCTATCTTTCTCAGACAAGCCTTCACCCAGAACGTATTTCGTCCGATAACATCAAATGGGGCCGTGCCCTGGGTTCTCACGACGATATCAAAGAACTTGTGAGTTTTGAAGTGCCGGAGTGGAGGAGAATGGCAATGGCTGAGGAGGGAGTCTTAAGATGCACGACGCATGATGCAGGGAGAGTGAGGGATGTGTGGGTGAGACTGTGCGTTGATGGAGTAGTGAAAATGTGCTATTGGTGTGCGTTGATGGAAGCTCTTCTGAAGATCCACGAAAGAAAAATGAAAGTCGAATGATTTGAAAGGTCTCCGAGTACATTACTTTGGCCTCAACATTGCTGGGTGATGATCTAATTACAGAACTTCCAACACCCTTTAAATTATGGGCCTCGCTTATCTACCTGTTACAGTTTCATCTGTGTAGCTGGCCTGTGGTCTTCTTGTGTGTCTCTTTACGAGTCGTGGGATAAAGTCGAGGAACTCTTTGGACCACTATTGATTTCCTCTTCGTCTGTGGTCTCCCCAACGCCATTTCAGTTCTCGAGCCTTAAAGGTTAGCCTATACATCTTAAATGTGTGTTAGAGCTGACCTATTCGTGTCAGAGGAAGGTTGAGCTGGACGTGGAGGTGCCAAAAATACAATTCACGATGTGGAAGCCGGGCGCAAACGAGGTTACAGCGATAGTAATGAAATAAGATTTGACATTACAAGAAGACATAAGGCCTATGAAAGGGGGGTTTTCGGCTTAGGTTTATTAACCTAAACTACTGGCCTGGTTTAGGGCCATTATGGGGAGTGGTTGGGACGATGTGGAGGGTGATGTCACCAGGTCCCCCCCCCCCCTCTCCAGGGGTCAACGAGCGCTGGAAATGAATGCACCATACTGGCTACTTAGATAAAACAATAATGATCCTAACTGGATGAGGGGTATTAAAGTTCCTTAATGGTTGTAATTTATTCTTAATTCTTTGCGTCGGGGGACAGGCAATCAGTGTGTATATACACATTAGACTTATACGAAAAGGGAGCAGTTCATTTGAAAAACCATTATTATTAAGAAACACAAAAGAAAGCAAAAAAAAAAGAGGTTATAAAAACAGAAGGAAGAAAAGGCTAATCTTAACAGAGTTGGTCCAATTACATAAAATAATTGACTTAAAGTTAGGAAGACAACCAGGCCACAGAATTCACGTTCGGGCCATTTGAAGACAATGAGAAAGAGAAGAACAACATTGTAAAGGACTGTTTCATCCCAGCCTTCACAAGCCACACACTGGATAGATGCCAAGATTATACATTGTTTAATAACTGCAGAAAGGGAACACACACGGGGTGACGCGCTCTCGGGCTTGTAAACACCAGATAATGTAAACCAGATGTGTCTCCAGACTCTTGTGAGAATGTCTCCAGGCTCTTGTGAAAATGTCTCCAGGCTCTTGTGAGAATGTCTCCAGGCTCTTGTGAGAATGTCTCCAGGCTCTTGTGAGAATGTCTCCAGGCTCTTGTGAGAATGTCTCCAGGCTCTTGTGAGAATGTCTCCAGGCTCTTGTGAGAATGTCTCCAGACTCTTGTGAGAATGTCTCCAGGCTCTTGTGAGAATGTCTCCAGGTTCTTGTGAGAATGTCTCCAGGCCCTTGTGAGAATGTCTCCAGGCTCTTGTGAGAATGTCTCCAGACTCTTGTGAGAATGTCTCCAGGCTCTTGTGAGAATGTCTCCAGGCCCTTGTGAGAATGTCTCCAGGCTCTTGTGAGAATGTCTCCAGGCTCTTGTGAGAATGTCTCCAGGCTCTTGTGAGAATGTCTCCAGGCCCTTGTGAGAATGTCTCCAGGTCCTTGTGAG